TAGAGAGAGAGAGAGAGAGAGAGAGAGAGAGAGAGAGAGAGAGAGAGAGACTGACTTGATCAGACTCACGATACAACAAGCGCTTCGTGATGTCTGTTGTCCGGGCAGAAAAAAAGTATAGGCACTAAATATGTAATTTGTTTACCTTCTTTGGTGTTACCATACAATACAATAATAATAGTAGGCTATATAATAACAACAAAATAGTAATAATTTAATAATAATAACAATAATAACAATAATATAACAATAATAATTTTAAAAAATATAATAATAATAACAATAGGCCTAGTAGTAGGCCTAAACAGTAATAATGATAATTTAAAAAAATGATAATAATTATGATGACCAGAATATTGATGAAGATTAATTTACGAAAATCAGCGCGCTTCAGATTTCTGATAGGCCTAATCACTTTAATGATTAACTTTCAACTTTTATGTTAAGAATATTAAACTTATTCCAAAAGCTATCTTGACAGACACTGACCAGCTGTGACCAACGATAGATCTAATTAGGCTGACCGACTGTCCGATCAACCTGTTTCGGATTTCGTAATATATTTCGGGATTCTCCAATTCACAGCCTTAGGTATTTAGGCTAGGCTACACTAGATCTAGTTCTCACGTTTCTCGAATGTTTGGCATCGTCTATTCTTTCTTACATGACAAACAGAAAACGGGGCCCGCGGCACATTGGAAATAATTATGTGCCATCTTTCTCTCTTAGTTCAAGTGAGGACAGAATAATTTAATGTAAGTCAGCTTTCAACTAAAAGTAAAAGAAACTTGCTAGCTTCTGCAAAGTGAAACTAAATTTTAAAAAGCCAATTTCAGACTGAATTGAAATGCTAGTGTGCAGCAAAAATTGATGTTAACATGTCGTAATGGGTTGGTGGTTGTAGAAAAAGGGGGACCACAGTAAAAGAAGAAGTTTTAGAGCCAGAGTTGATCTAGAGCTAACCGTTACAGATTTGGGCTGTTTTAGGCCTAGTTTTACGTTTTACTACGACGGGCCGAGATAAACACAAAGTCCGTTCCATATTTTGAGTTAACCACTGTACAGGTCATGTGACCTAACAAGGGAACGTCATCATCATGGCAGACCACCCGGCTGAGGCAGATATCAAACAGATATTCAAACGTCTGTTGTCAGTCCCAACAAATAAGGTAAATTTGTTTACAAATGTTACTTCTGGAGTTTTTAATGAGTTTTTTTCTGTCGCATTGAAGCGACATACGTGTAGAATTTGCCGACCATCTCCTTGAAATGATGATCACTTGGCCGATACTTCACATGACATAGACAGTGCAGCACAAAATAGTGACACCGTGGAACTACAGGATGAATCAAGTGGAGTTATTGATGGTTCATTGAGAGCAGGTTGATGTTGATGGATGAGATATATTCTCCTAAATTGCACTTGGATTATATTTTCAATACTCACGATTTTTTCTTTCACTAGAGATCTACTGCGAGCGTGTCTGAAATGGGTTGGTGTTGTTGGTGTCACCACTCACCACATCATCTGTCATCTGGCAGAAAAGAGACAGCTTGCAGTGTTGCACTTGCACTTCTAGATCTAGATCTAGTCTAGATCTAGATCTTCTACTTCTTCTACTCAACTCAATCTCACTGCTTAATTTGCAATATGCTGTCAGTGAACAGACATAAAAGATGCTAGACTGCTCATTGTATTGTCAGTGCTGTGTGAGTCTTGACAATGAGGCGAGATCTTGGGCGCTTTTTTAGGTATTTACCACCCCGCAATTGTATTCGCTGGTTTTGGCCCCAAGACTAGGGGGGTTTCCCCTGCATTAAGCCATAATTTGATGTTTTTGCAGTTGTTAGCTTTGACATCTTAGCTCGCCACGCATCAAACGTATAGATCTAGATGTAGATCTAGTCTCAAATAAGGGGGGTGGGAACTACCGAAAAAGCACCAGATCTTGATTCTCTAGACTAGGAGGGTCACTAGGCTAATGAATGTACAGCTGTGACTGGTCAATCAAAATCTCTAGGACTTTAGATCTAGAAACTATGACCTATCTTCATCTTGACTGAGTAAACTAAAAAAGAAAAATGAAAAGAAAACGAACTCACCAACATGAAAGATCATGTACATCGTCGAGAATAGAAAATTTGGGAGGACTTCTGGTTCCGTAATGAACGACCACTATCATGAGACAGAGTAGAATAGAAGGCTAGAGGTAGGGTTAGGTCTCTTCTTTATTGTGTTTGGGTGGTTGCTCGTTACCCTTCGCCTTCCGAAATTTTCTTTTGATCAGCTTTTTTGTATTGTTTTCCTTGTTCAAACGTACTTGAATGTTTAATTGAAGATGTTTCTTTGACAGCTAATCTTTGATTGTAGATCTTGGGTGACACTAGTTTCTTTTTGATCAATACAAGGTAGACGTGGTTGTGATTGGTATGGGTGTGTATGGTATTAAAAAAACTTTTCTCACAATGATTAGCTGATTTTTACAAGGAAGGTGGACCGTTAAATGACAAATTTAAAATGGTGAATCACCAGGAGAACGTTGATTTCCTGCAAGAATGATTTGAGTCCTGGTAATTTTTATGAGAGTGGAATAGCCTGATCATTTAAAATATAAAAAAAATTTTTTGCAGAGTTAACAGTCGACCACATTGTTCAATTTTCTCTTTGAGGATTAGGTGTGTGACAATACATCTTTACTATTACTATACACACAAATATGGCGTGCTTTCTTGTTACAATCAACGTGCCGTCTGGTGCTTGTTTTCAGAATATTTATAAGTTGGATGTTAAATTTATGAATCTTGAATTGTTATTTTGATGAGCGCCTGATTTCATTACGCTGCCTCACATTGTTCATAGTAGATTTTGACTGTGCTGTTCTGGTGTTTCTGTTGTGTGGTGTCGGGCCTAGTGGTCGGTGGTGGAATCACCCACCCTCTTTTCTTGTATACATAATACTGTGTGTTTTACGTACTCTTGTCGATTAATTTTTAAGATGTGATGTATTTTTTTATATAATGTGCATCAAGCATTTTTTCGAAAATGGAAATGTGAGCAGTCTGGTTTAACTGCAATTTTTAATTTTGTAATTATAATATTCTGTTGTTTCTCCTTCCAGCAATGCTTTGACTGCAACAGCAACAACCCGACGTGGGCCAGCGTGACCTACGGCGTGTTCCTCTGCATCGACTGCTCCGCCGTACACAGGTCTCTGGGCGTGCACGTCACTTTTATACGATCCACGCAGCTCGACACCAACTGGACATGGCTGCAGCTCAGGGCCATGCAAGTTGGTGGGAATGCCAACGCCGTAAGTTCATGATGAAATCATGTGTATAGAAATTATACCTTTAACTTTTAAAGCAAATCGGCATTCTGATAACACATCTAATAAGATCAGAGTGTGTGTTTGGGAATACTAAGATGTTGTTTTTTGTTTCTTGTAAACTCGATATTTTAGATGTTTTGTTAACATAATCAATGACTGTTCAAGTATCTGATGGTAGGTAAAATTGTCCATATGCGGCTATGCCTAGCCACGAGTACTAGACGGGTGACGGGTACACTGTTGAACGAGACCCTGTTCCAGATTTGGCCTGCTTGAACAAAATTTGAAAAAAGCACACAAAAAAGTTTTTTTTACACAGGACGCTGTTGATTAGGCCTATTTTGAAGATCTGTCAAAATTACTTGTTGGTAATGACAAGGACTCTCCCCTGGGTGGGATGTGGAATGTGGTTTTGACGATGATATGAATGTGAGGAATATGAGAGGGAATCTCCCAGGAGCTCAGACAGAAGGAGGGGCATGGTAGGCGCAGGAGGTCAGGGCTTGGTGGAAACATGACTTGTGATTGTGGTGAGAGCTTGTTGCTTTAAAAGTTTTTATATTTTAGTTATTTTCAGTATTTTATCGCCTACATTGCACTCAGCTTTTCTTCTTTTTAGGAGAGGCGGCTACTCTGTCAATGAGACTTGGTGAAAAAAGGGTGCCATTACCTGAACTAAAAAAAAGGGTAACTCCTTTATGGTCTGATGAGCAATTTTTTTGGGAGGGAACAGCCAGGGAGGAACCTACGACCATCAAACGATAACACCCTACTTGTGACACGCGTACAATCATACAAATCATATGGAGAGAGATCTTTCTCATATCTTGGTCCATTTATGTGGAACAGATTACCCATGGAAGTAAGACAGACAAGAACTCTTGATAGCTTCTAAAGACATCTTAAGCATTTTCTGTTCTTACAGGCCTATCTTTCATAAGCTTTTAGAGTTATTTTTAAAATTATAGTTGTTCTGTGCCTACATCTGAATGAAAAAAGTCTGTGTGTGTGTGTGTGTATAAATATATATTGCATGAGAAGAAAGGAAGTAGTAAGAAAGGTTTTGAAAATGGGTATTCCAATGTAAAGTGCATTGAGCTACTTTTTTGGAAATGCGCTATAATAATGTTATATATTGTTATAATTATTATTATTATCTCCGTGTGATTGTATTTCTTCTCTCCCCAGAGAGCATTCTTCAACCAGCAGGGCTGCTCCACGGCCGACGCCCAGAAGAAGTACCACAGCCGCGCTGCCACTCTGTACAGGGACAAGGTCCTTTCTCTGGCCCAGCATGCCATGAGGCTGCACGGGACCAAGGTATATATATATATATAGCGCAACGCTCTAGGTTTCTCTAGTGTTTTATACATAGTGGTCAGGGTGGCCATGTTACTTTGCTTTCGTTAACTATTTATGGATTTTGTAGGACGAATGGAGTAGATAGATTGGTGGAGCAGTAGTTGAATTTGTTTCGATGCGTTTTTGTTTGAATTCAGTTGAATGAGCCTGCTCCCAGTTTAGCGTTTTAGTGTATGTAATGCATTTTGATCGAGCCTCGTTTTGCTTGAGTTTCAACATGCTATTTGTGTTTGTATGTAAATTAACCTTTGTTTTATCATTTGATCTGATACTTCTTGTGTGTGTTCTCAACTCTAACCTTGTCCTTGCAGCCTATTTTCGATGCTCAAGAAAAAGGCAAAGGTCAAAAGGTCAGAAACTGTGGGTGTCATATCTTTCAGTTTCGCCAGTATTAACTGATTTTGTGATGTGATCCATTCTCACACTTGGGTTGATTTTCTATTTGGTGTTGCATAAACGTAGCAGGGTCGTAGGTACCGCTGATCAGCTCAGTGGACGTATCGGCTCTCTGATGGTCAGAAAATATTTTTTTTCATTCAAGGTACTTCTTTGTTTTACCAAGGAACGCTTGTTTTATTCAAATGATTCGTATATTTCATTCAAGGTACTTCTTTGTTTTACCAAGGAACGCTTGTTTTATTCAAATGATTCGTATATTTCATTCAAGGTACTTCTTTGTTTTACCAAGGAACGCTTGTTTTATTCAAATGATTCGTATATTTCATTCTGAGATTTTTTAGACTTTTGCTCAGTTCTTTAAAACAAATGCTTAAAGCTTGACTATGATTTCTCTTGCTGGGGAGACATTTTTGGGAAATACTGATGTCCTTGAAACAGATTTGAAATGAAGTGCGTCTTTCTGTTCATGTCAGCTGAGGCTATTTTTAAAAACCTTGTCACACCCAGCTGTCAACCCCATCCCCATTTGCTTTTTTGGGGGTTTGTAATAGATGTGGAATCATTTCACTCTGGAAATTCTTTTGATCTTAGGATTTGAATGATGAATGGATCACACATGCCCGCACGCATACAATAATATATGTAATGTTATGACATACAATGATATATGTAATAATATTATAAAGCTTGACATTTTCAAGTGTGTGAGGTTTTTACCTGAGTCAGTTTGTGTGCTTAGAAAAATGGAGATGACATTCTGTAAGCTGCTGTAGCTCCCTCATTGAAAGTGAAACGTTTAAATTTCTACAAGTGATGCTGGGCTCTTAGACAAACATGTTGACCAAGGATCTGAAGAGTATGTGCGAGAGCTTTCTCTGAAGGGGCTGGGCTGAAGTTCCTCCTTTCGACATCTAAGTTGAAATGAATGAATTTTGAACGTCAGTTGATTAACCCTATCCGTACGTCGTGTTTTACTTTTGTATCCATACGACATCGGGAACTTTGTGCCACTACTTTCAAAGAGGAAATTTACTTGTTTATCCTACCTGTACGCTGTGCATAGCAGTCTGTCAAAATAATTATTTGAGAAATACTGAAATTTCAAAAAGATCTTCGTACTAGAAGTATTCTAAAATGTGAAGAATACAACCCTGGGGGTACAAAATGACCCCAGGGCGTACGGATAGGGTTAATAAAACGCAGGTTGCGAAATGAATGTTCATATTTTGGTACGCACCCCCCCCACCCCCAATGTTGGGTTATATCGGGCTGTCCTGCAGAATTTCTATGCAAGGTCCATTTTTTTAAATGTCAAAGATTATACAGGTTATCCTGGAGAGAGAATTGATAACTTTTTCTTGAGAATGAGAAGTAAAGATCTGACACACTGCCTCCCTGTGCACTCGTCTAATCGTCTGATGTTACATTCTATTAGCTTGTCATCTTCTCATATTCAGTCATTGTTCTTCCTTCTTTACACTTTATATGCTTCTCTCCAGACCGTAACATTTCTGATACTAGCAGAGTTTCTCCTCAGCCTTGTGGTGTGAGCTGCATGCATGTGTAGAGAGCTCTCTACTGCAACAACTGGCGACCTCCATGCTTTCCTGTCGTATCTCCATTTTTTTTTTTTCCATGAAAATGCGACTTCTTTAGCTCACTCTTTGTTATGAACTGTTTTCTTGGTAAAAATGGAGATATGTTGAGAACGCACTGAGGTCGTGAAATGCCTTACTAACAAATGGAGTTCTGCAGATGAAACTAGTGGGCTTTGTAGCAGCGTTGTCTCCATGTCTTGCTCTGATCCCCTCATGGCTGTCCGTGCACATCATGTATCGGGGGATGTTGGTGTAAATGGGCTGATTTATCATTGCCATGCTCATTCTGTGCCGGAACAACATAGGGGGAACTGCACTGCTTTTTCTTTCCTCATCCTTACTACAGTAATTTTTCCTATACTTTTGTATGTTTGTCACACTCTTGTGACCCGCTTTTACCGGGGTGCCTTGATAGTCGAAGCAGACTTTGTACTGTTGAGGCTAGAGAGGTGAGCAGAGTAAGCCTGATCCCCCGTTTGGACTTCTCTGTTGACATCCACCCCTTGACGCTCATATGACCTTATGCAGTTGCGAGCGACGTGAAACCTTACTAAAACAAACAAAGATACTTGGTCCAGCAAGGGCCCACTGTGGTTTAGAAAGTGGCAAAGTTTAAAGGTTGCATGGTGGAACACATTTATACAAAATATCTTTTCTTACTACTTCATATTGTTGGAGCTATTAACAAGGTTGTTGGGGACAATCCATGAAGAAATGCTGCTGGTATATATTGTTGAATAGTTTTATTGCACTGGTTTCTTGAGCTGGCGAGGTTTTCAACATTTTTCAACTCATTGGGAGACGAATGTTGTCTGTCCTTTGTTACATTTGAGTAACTTCTCACAACTGAATTGTTTTACTTTTTGTTTGGGTTTTGCTTTGATTTGTTTTTGTTTAGTTTTTGGTGCAGTCATTGACACGATCCTTACCTGCATGTTGTACGAGTATTGTAGTATTTGTGTGCATGATCATATTTAGTAATGGACTTTCTGTATGTAATCAAATTTAAGGTTGGTATATATTGTAATGACCGAGTACTGATTTCTTCGTTTCGAAAGGGGTTTCCAAATAAGCCTGTAGATGTTAGAGATGAGCATTGATGCAAAACTTTGACCATGACTTCAAGTTTCTCATTTCTTTGGTTGATGGTAGGCTCGAGGGCCCCATTGGTTAGTCCGCTATCTTGCTCCTCTGTCTCTTGTTTTGTGTCTGTCTCTTCTGCTTTGAGATATATGCAAGTCTCATTTCGAGTTTGAATGATGAAAGGTTGAAATATATTTTGAGCGGACTTACTAATTAAGGGCTTGTGCTTAATAGTACTGAGTAATGCTGATCACTTATTCACTCCACGGTGCTTTTGGATTGCTTATAGACGTAGATTTTTTTTCAGAAGGGGGAAAATATTTATAGGTCAGAAAATGAAGTGATTTGAAGGACTTGTCAGCTTGCCTCCAGAAAGTTAATTGTGCCTGTACTGTTAACGCTTTGCAGTCACTTGGCACCGAAGAAAATTTTCCGTTCCGGTCACCAGCCCAGGTCCAAGAAGTCCGTAACAGTCACTCTCCTGGCTGGGTGACCAGATGGGGGTGTTTTGTACTGCTGGCTGTGTGACTGCAAAGTGCTCACAAATTAATTAATTCCAGAGACATTGAACTTGCAACTTTATGACATATAGTAAGTAAACAGTATGTGTTTGCATTGAAGGAAGAATTGTGGAGCACAAAGTGATGGAGAAGAAGATAAAGATGTGGACTGTGACAGAGATTTTCTGCCTCACCACACACAAGCAGAAAGTTGTTTTTTTTCTAGTTTGGTTCGTCTTTTCACCGCTCATTCATCGATTGGCTGCTTGGATGTTCTTCCTTTTGCCCGACTCACCAGTAGTACTGCTTCTGTGTGTTGTTCTTGCTGTAAGACCCTATGACAATCTACCTTGTGGGTGGTTGGGGGGTGCTCTGGTGTGGTTTGCTCCTTCTTTCCTATCCAACATCTATCGTCTTTATCTCTCCTCCTTCTTTTTTGTGTATGTTACTCTCTTGTAACATCTCTAATCTTCGGCACTTGTATGACCTTATTGTGTTGCAAGTGCCGTAAAACTAAAGCATTCTACCTTAGGGACAGATGAGTGGCTGGTGCAGTGGTCGCTCTGTAGGAATTATGCTTCATGTTTGATTTTTTGTTTCAGTGTAACCGTGTATATGTGTCATGACGCGGCGGAATCTGGCGCTCATCTATTTTGGGGCATATGGAGTTATTGGTATCATCTTAAAGCCTGTCCATTTACCTTGCTTTTGATGAAAACAGTATTCAGTTATCTTGGATACACGTCAAGATATTGGCCATTGAAGGAGGTGGGGGCTGCTTGGTTTCAGAAGTAAAATTAGCAAGAAAATGGCCGCCAAAATTGAGCTATTTCCTTAGCTTGAGAGTCTGCGGATACTAAAAATGTACATCTTTTATTCCTTTAATCAACTTTTATATCAGTAAAATCCAAACAGAAATGTGTTCTTTAAAGGGCATGAAAGGTGGGATTCAAAAAAAGAAAATATAAAAATTCCCAAACCTTTGGAAAAATATCATGCTGCCTCACATATCAGGATTATTTGCTGTATGCCAAAATGTATGGGGTTTTTTTTTCATTCCGACTCCCCATCGTTTAAGATGTAACATTAAATTACATGTTCAAAGTTACTGGAAATAACAAATAGCCCACAGTGATTTCATTTGTGATCAGAAAAATTGAAACTCAAAATTGGGCAACATTTTCTCTGATCTTTCTTTCCATATACAATGTAGAATAGAAATGAATGTTAAAATATTAAATTGTCTAGAGAGTCACACATCTACTGGGAGTCTTTGTTCTATATTTGCTGCTCTAAGAAGTCTCATGCACAGTTCTCCTCCCTTTGTGTCTTTGTTCTATATTTGCTGCTCTAAGAAGTCTCATGCACAGTTCTCCTCCCTTTGTGTCTTTGTTCCATATTTGCTGCTCTAAGAAGTCTCATGCACAGTTCTCCTCCCTTTGTGTCTTTGTTCCATATTTGCTGCTCTAAGAAGTCTCATGCACAGTTCTCCTCCCTTTGTGTCTTTGTTCTATATTTGCTGCTCTAAGAAGTCTCATGCACAGTTCTCCTCCCTTTGTGTCTTTGTTCTATATTTGCTGCTCTAAGAAGTCTCATGCACAGTTCTCCTCCCTTTGTGTCTTTGTTCTATATTTGCTGCTCTAAGAAGTCTCATGCACAGTTCTCCTCCCTTTGTGTCTTTGTTCTATATTTGCTGCTCTAAGAAGTCTCATGCACAGTTCTCCTCCCTTTGTGTCTTTGTTCTATATTTGCTGCTCTAAGAAGTCTCATGCACAGTTCTCCTCCCTTTGTGTCTTTGTTCTATATTTGCTGCTCTAAGAAGTCTCATGCACAGTTCTCCTCCCTTTGTGTCTTTGTTCTATATTTGCTGCTCTAAGAAGTCTCATGCACAGTTATTCCCCCTTTGTGTCTTTGTTCTATATTTGCTGCTCTAAGAAGTCTCATGCACAGTTCTCCTCCCTTTGTGTCCCCAGCTGCACATTGAGGCTGCCCAGGAGGCGCGCTCCCCAGAGGAGAAGGAGGCCGACTTTTTCTCCGAGCACACCCAGCTGTCTGCGCCCTCCGCCGACTTCTCGACCCCGATAGAGGACAACGCTCGCCTCGGTGGAGGGGGGAGCAGTAGCACAGGATCCGCAGCGACTACAGCGCCAGTGAACACCAACGGGAAGCTGATTGAAGGTAGGTGCTGTCTGTCAGCGTGGGGACCACTTAGAAAAGGAAAGACAAAGGTTGTTTTTTTTGTGAAACTGTTCTCCCTGTATGTCGTGGTACTTTTGCTGTCGTTCCCAGATCCCACAGCAGTTTTTACTAAGATTTGCTGCATATATTTGTTTTGTAAAGGATACACTTGAAGACAAACAGAGCTGTGTTTGTTTCTTTTTCTCTGTTCTTTCATAACTGTCACTGTATGTCGTACTTTTTTGTTGTTGTTCCCAGATCTTTCATAACAGTCCCTCTCCCCCAGGGTAGTGCCACTGACTGAAGTGTCTTTGGGTCATTCCCAAAGGGGGGATATTTCTCGTTCTTACGCACAGTAAAATTGTAAATGGGCTGATTCATCGATGTCATGCTCATAACTGTGCCTGAACTACAACAGGGAACTGCTGCTTGTTCTTTCCTAATCCTTACTATTGTCATTTTCCTTTACTTCTTTTGTTTGTTTGTCACTCTGTTGTGAACTGCTATTTCCGGGTTGCCTTGAAAGTCGAAGCAGACTTTGTGCTGTTGAAGCTAGAGAGGTGAGCAGAGTAAGCCCGATTCCCTGTAAAGACTTCTCTGTTGACATCCACCCCTTGGCGCTCATATGACCTTATGCATTTGCGAGCGCCGTAAAAACCTCTACTATAAAAAACAAAAAACGTTGTTGTCCCCAGATCCGACAGCGGGGCCCAACGTGGAGCCAGCTCTGAGCACCTCCCCGACCCAGGCGGCCGTCCAGGTCGAGCCACGGAAGGCCATCATCGGGGCCAAGAAGGCGCCGGCCGCAAAGAAAGGAGTGAGTTTTGGCGGGAAACATGAGCTTGTTTCTCTGTCTATAGGATTAAATTGACAGCGTGCCTATATGAATGTTGTGTCTTATAAATGTGAAGCATGCTTACAAAATGAGTTACATCTCAGATTCAGTCCTTATGGAAATAGATACGTTACCTCTATAGGTGAAGTTTTTTACAATTTATAAGTACGAAATAATGAAAGGCATGTTATAGTTTAAAGAATATGGAATCAATATAAAGTCTACAAATTTGACCCTTGTGTCGATTTTTGGCCAATATCTCCACTTGTGGATTGTGAGAAGTAACTCGTTTTGTTTTGTGGCACTCATATGACCGTATGCAGTTGCGAGCGCCGTAAAACCCTCTACTATTAAAAAAAATATAACTCGTTTTGTCAGCATGCCTCTCGAATAATGTTTCTGGGGTGTCTCGTCAAATGCTGTAATTTGATGACAATGTCTGGATGATTGCTCTGAACTGTTACAATTCACCTATTGCTTTTATTTTTGTGTTTTCGCCACCCCCAGGCACTTAAGTTTCAAATATTTTGTCAGACAAGAATCACAGAGTATGACGTTTAGTTTTATGCACTAAAGAGCAGGTACTCTGAGATTCTCATTGCTACCACATTCATGGGGCACCAGCTGCGCCCGTGTCAGAATGGTCTGCAATCAATGGGATCAAGGCGTCATTGCATACTTGAAACTGTTCTGAAAGGTATCGCATGTAGTGTTTTTTAAAATACACATGTGGCTTCTGTCTGTGGCCAACGGGGAGGTGAGATGGTAAGTGCTATGGTTGCCAAAGCTGAGAGGGAAATAGAAGGATTTAAAGTGTGTGGACTTTGACATGGCATCATAGATGTTTTATGGCGCTTTTGACAAAGAATTGACAGTTAAGGTGTCAGGGAAAGGCTGCGGCACTGATTGGTGAGGAGAGAAAGACTTGGGGGTCAATCGAGGCAGAGACTGGAAGAATGTTTATG